ACCACCTGTTTTGTATTAGAATCTAATACAAAACAGAAGAAAAAAAAAACAGTTTTGAATGATTTCTTACCCASAATTTGACAGTTTGAGTCCTTGTAGTTCATGAGTGATAAATTATTCAAATGTTGATCACAGCAAGATTCTTCACACAAAATAAATGAATGTATTTTATTTTTTATTAACATGGTTTAACCCAGAGGAGCCCAAAATGGGGCCTTCGGGCCAAATTTGGCCCACCAAGCTATTTGATTTGGCCCACCAACAGTTGCCAAAGTTACAAGGTTGTAACCTGTTATCCTATCTATGTAGAAACACAGTGTTTCCATTGGTCAAATGACTATATAAAAGGGCTGTAGTGAAGGTAGTTTTCATTCATGGTGCTGACTTTATCTTTGATTTATTAGGATAAAACATGAAACATGAAATGACAAGAAATATTTAGATCAGATTTAACTCCACTTGTAGATTTGCACACTTTATAAGGCCACAAAACCTCTTATTTTATCAATTTATAAAACGTCCCATGAGCCTTTGCTACTTGAGCATATGGCAGACTTTCTCCAAGTTCACAGACTAAAACTAAAGAGGGCCATTGCACAGCTTAATTGTTAAAAATAAAGGACTTTACTTAAAAAGTATTTGAATTTCATGTATTATATTACTGCATTTGGCCCGCAGCTCTGGATAGATTTTCATTTTRGCCCTCTCGGGGAAAATGTTTGGGCACCCCTGGTTTAACCCGTACTCTTTTTTGTTATAGAGACAAACAAGTGCACAGTCACAAAATCTGGGTTGTATGTGTTCAATTCTTGAGGACATCGGCATACCTTGGTATTCTGATAAGACAACAYAATTTACATCACAGGTTGAGCAGACAAAAAAAAAGCATGAACAAGGCTGTTTCCACTAAAGTGAACACCTATTATAAACCCAGACTTGAAACAAAGAAGTATTTTTTTGATTTAAATTGTCTTTAATGACTGGTGTGTTTTAAACACCCCTCTCTGGAACCTTCTCTTTTCAGCTTGGAGTATTTGGACAGCTTGGAAAAGTTAGACCTCAGTTATAACCAGCTGATGTCTGTGGGACCCGGGATCTTCAGGGGCCTCTCAAGACTCAGACAGCTCTATCTACACAACAACAGACTGACTGTGGTGCAGCGGGGAAGCCTTGATATGCTTCCTGGGCTGGAAGTAAGTCCACCACATCTTCAACTCGRGGCCTCTGTTTTACTGACCTGTATCTGCTTTAAGTCAGGCATGTCTGCAGATCTTGGTAGTTAAAGTCAACTTGATACAATTAAATGGTTAACCTAAATTCTGATGACTGAGAAGCTGATTTTATCTGTAGAAAAGTGTTGTTCAAAAATGGAAGTCTGAATAATATAGCAGGACCCACTTAGATACAGTATGTTCTCAAAACTTTATTCTTGTTAATGACTCCAGTCAGTTTCACAGCAGTACACTAGTGATTCCCAACCAGGGGTATGTGTACCCCTAGTGATATGCAAGCATACAACAGAGGCATGTGGAAAAATTTCCCAGGTGTGTAAATAAATAAATACATATAGGACTGAGATATGATTTCTGAGACAGAATTGCGGAATTAACAAAACAAAATGAAATCCAGTATAAAAAGTGGAATCTCACTGAATTTGCTCATTTGGGTGAGTTTCTGATGTATTTTGGACAATATAATGTGTTTTGGATGCTGCTTCCTGTACCTGTACACTTAAATCTTTATTGAATTGCTTATTATGACCCCCGCATGCGAACCGTGAGCGGGAGTCATATTGTTTTCGTACTGTTTATTTATTAATTTTTTTCAGTGATTTTTGGTCAACCGTAGCACAAAAACGGCTGCACCAATATACATGAAATTTGGCAGGACTGTAGATGAGTCTGACCTACACTGCGCCAGCCAACGGTTTTATGATAGACCCCATATTTGAGGAGGGGCTCCTTTCAAAGAAGGGGTATCTGGACAAGCAAAAATGCCTATAACTCAGAAACTGTTCAACAGAAAAGCTTCAGATTTCTTTGGATGTTTAGCTCTGATGAAGCTCTATCCATCACGCCCACCAATCAATGCCCCCCTGTACCCCCAGTTTATCTGAAAAAGGGGTTTATCGTACAGTTTATTATTTTTTTCCCAATGATTTGGTCAACCGTATGCAAAAATGGCTGCACCAATCAACATGAAATTTGGCAGGACTGTAGATGAGTCTGACCTACACTGCACCAGCCAACGGTTTTACGAA